TAAAAGAAAAATTATGGGATGGCCCTACCCTCAAAAATGTTTGTTAGGGTAAGCACTAACTTTGTACCAAGTTTCATGCTTTTATCACAAAACGCACAATCTTCGCACGTATCTGCTGGACTATTTCTCTCATCCAGGCCTATCTTCGTTGAATGTAAAGATGTGTAATCTTTCCCATTTGCGGCCTGCTTTTCAAACATTATCAACGTTATTCTCACATTTAGGGATATTTTCGAGCAGCGCTTGGACAGTTTGAGGCTGGTTTTGCTGGTCTTGGGATTTTTTTCTACTGTTTAGCCTCACCATCTTGAGATTTTTGCTGGGTTTTCGTTTAATTGAAGTGTCATGGACAATTTCGAATTGCCCGCGGGTACATGCAGCATAGAAACCGGCGCGAAAATCAGCGCTCATGGCAAAGAGAATCATCGGATTGATGATGTGCTTAAGGTAGTAGATGATGAGCGATATGAGATTAATGTACTGGATGAGTGGGCTGAAAGTCGATCGGTCACCGAACTCGTAAAAAAGCATCAGGATCCCGCGTGGGAGGTAGAAGATGTCGAAGACGAGAAGGCTTGTAAACAACATCTTGACGAGCCGATTGCGCCTCTGCTGCGGTCCTGATCTTGACTCAGARATGAGCGTTTTCTTGCTTATGCATCTTGCAATCCAGCAATATGCCCAGGTTTGGATGAGTAGTGGAGCAGCGATAAACACTATGACTAGGTACAACTTGAACACCCTCCTGAATACCATGGATGGGAATATCACCTTGCAGAGGACATTACTCTTCCTGGTTACTGTTGACAGCAAAGGAGCTACAGGCAACCCAGAGGTCAGATAGCACCCGATCCACAGCCCAGCTATGACAAACTTCATCTTCCGCGGTGACAGTCGTCGTTTAAAGGGCGTTACGATCGCTCCGTATCGCTCTAGTGCGATGCAAGTATGCGCAACTACAGATACACAGACAAACACATCCTGCAGTGGCACCAACAACCTACAGACTGCCTCACCAAACGGCCAACCGATGAAGCGTTCGATGATCCTTAAGGGCGCTGCAAAAACAGCCACTCCTATATCTGCAATTGCAATGGTCATTATTAAGTAATTACATGGAGTTTTCATGTCATCCCAGCGTAAGATGGTGGATATGACAAACGAATTGCCGACTACCCCTGCGACGAAAATGGTCGTGAAAAGACAAATGGTGATCGAATCATAGGCACTTCCCAGAGGATTGCTTTTTGCAGCTCCCGAAGAAGAAATAGACCCGTTATTTTCCAGAGAAACGTTGCTCGGATATTCCATGGTCTTGCTCTTGATTGGAGTGAGATTATCTCGAAAATATGAAACTGGCTTCACAGTTAAAGCTAATCAGACAATCAGATAAGCTCCTTTAATGCAATTACGCGGATACGATGGAATGGAGGAAACTCCTTCTTTCGGGATGTTCACAATAACGATGATGATTCTTATAGCGTTCAACGTTCGTGTGGACGAAAACGCCAAGTGTTCTGCCTTCAATGCTAAGTCAAGTCAAGTCAAGTTCAGGTGAGAGAGCAGCTGAAAGTTGAAATCTCTGCTTCGAGGGAGCAACATGCAGAGCTCTTGTTCTTTCTCTCTTTATCTGATTTCGCTTCGTGAATATTTAGAAAATCCAATTCAATTTCACTGCACCAGATGGTTTTTTTCTCTACACGGTTTCCTTGACCTAGTGAAGCTGAGAATAAAGTATGTTGCGGAGACCAACTAGAAGTCCACTGGAGATAACGTCTTCGAATTTTTGATGTGTTCTTATCAAAACAAATCAATATGCAGCGAATAAATCTCCAAAGTGTTGAGGGGATAAACCTTTGATGCTGTCAACCGGCCCTCAAGTGATTTAACATCAAGTCAATCCGATATAACCAGATGGAAGATTCCTCGCCTGTAACATACAAAATAACTCAATCTGGAGCGAACAACAAACAAACTGACGCTAATGTAACAGTTATCTACAAACCTTGCTTTACGAAAAAAGGGAAATAACCTGTCGTAATTCCGTGCAGGAACAATTTCAAATGTCGAGCTAATTAGGGTTTCATGTATATGGGAATATATATCGACTATATATTTGTACTGCGGTTATGAAGTAATGTTTAAAATGTTATAATTAAAGTTTCTTCTGAAAACAGAGATTTTAATAAGTTTAAGAAAAACAAGGGTGGTACCATCTCAGCCGTCCAGTCAGATTCACTTGTCTTATAAACTGTACAATTCGTCGTCGCAGGAGACTACAGATTTAACCATCCAATAAAGATTGTGGCCCGGCTTCGAGAATAATTCATTTTACTGTTACACACAAATTGGTATTGTTACTTCAAATGTAACGCAAAATGACGACATGTCCCGCTGTGAAGCAATTTTCAAAACGAACCAGAAAAAATATTTCCAAAAAATTKTTTGAGTTTTATTTCGAAAAAGATTTCAGAAAACGGTTATTTTACTTGTATCCTAAGGTGTGAAAATCACAAAATTTGGTTCATGCATGATTACCGTGTTCGGTGGAAGTGTTATATCAAACAGGTGTTAAACTACGCTCTCGACTGTTATATTTTTATTTATTTGTCTAATTTAATTTGACAGGCGGTAAAATTTTACTTTTCACGATTTGTGTTTTAAATTTTTACTCTTATTTGTTTTACATTTTTTCGCTCGTTTTTTCTTCATTTTTCTCTTCTAAAAAATTGTACAACCTGATTACACACACACACACACACACACACACACACATATATATATATATTAGGTCAACTTTAGCACACTATTTATTTTTTTACTGGCGTATCGATTTAATTCCAAGGTGTAAAAATCACTAAAATTGGTTTACACATACATGGTTACCATGTTCGGAAGAAGCGCTATATCAAACAGCTGTAAAACTGTTATATTTTTATTTATTTACTTATTTATCTAATTTCATTTCGGCGGCAATAAAATCCATTTTACTCTTTTTTACTTTTTATATTTTAAATTTTCACTATTTCATTTGACATTTTTCGTTCTTTTTCAAACCCTTTTTTACTTTTTTTAAAGTTTGTGAAGCGTGGTATCTTAGCACAAGCTCATCTTTTTTCATCTATTTTTTTTCTTCGCACTTTGGAGTAAGAAATATTATTGATTATTCCCTATATAATCGAAATTTCCCCTATTTTTAGCCTTGAACCAGCGCCTGCAAAAGTTCTTTGAATTTAATCCTTAGATTTTGCGAACTAAAGTCTGAAATTACGCCTACTTTAAACGCAAAAAGTATTTAGAAATTAAGAAAAAACCTTTTGTATTTCTTCTTTAACGATTCTTAAAACGAATCAATAGTATTTAGAAATAAATCATTGTTTTTGTTAGAGCAGCTAAATAATGGAAGTYTTTCGATTAATTTAAATAAAAGAAAACAAAAGCTGGACAAATAAAAAGAGATTCAGTTATAAAAGGGAATAAAAAATCAGTGAAACTACTGACAATATTTCAGTCGATGAAAAATGTGGATAGAACAGTGCAGTGGCTGATCCCGAACGATTTCAAGGCGGATGACTGTTTCCTAGATAGGCATCACATTCCGTCCTTTTAAATTCGTGGATACGTGGAGCGTAGAAACAAGTTATTGTGAGGAGCCTGGATATGCAAATATGTCACTCACTCGCTCACTCRCTCACTAAAATGTTAGCAGATCGATATTTTAACGATCATTACTTCTTACTTTATCCTTTATTTTTCTTATTTTTCAACTAAGAAGGGTGGGGACTAGTTACCCAATTCAACTCCCCCCCCCCCTAGATCCGCCCTTTTAGTGATTTAGTTTTCTACTCTTATTTGTGCAATTAATACTTGACAATTTAAGATTTCTATTCTTAAAAATCTCACTCGAGTAGTAGAAAAAATAAAGAAACCAATCCTCTTTAATATCGTCGATTTAAGCAATAAATAACATGATAGATTCGAATTCCAATTCGATCTGCGAATTAGCCGTGCTCTGACTTATATTAGCACAAACGTTTTTTCAGGAAGGGATAGCGATCGCTTAAGTTGATGACCTACTTGAAATACAAAGTCAAAACCCGGTGAACCAAAGAATAACCCGCAGTTATCAACAAGGAGGTGGTCGCTCAGAACGATTGGAGTTTTTCTTGTAAAATATGGATCGTTCGCACTCACGCCCTAGAGAGTAAACTGACAATAAAGATGGCAGCCATAATGGTGTACCTAGCAAGAGAAACTAATAACCAAGGTTATTTTCAAAGGTACACCAATATGGCGGCTGTGACGTCATAGTTCGGCCACCTTGAGCGACCACTTTGAATATGTGTATGAGTTGTCCAATTGCTATATTTAGCTTGATACTTTAAAATCGATAATTAATCTAAAAGTTTTTAATTCCGGTTCATTTGGCGTAATTTAATCATTGTGCTTTATATAGTTTGTTTTGTTGCTTGCCGCTGGAGCTTCATTTCCTGGTTCCGAACGAATAAAAGAATGGCGACCCACTCATTTTGGCGGCAATTTATTTGCAGAGAGGCTTTTTAGAATATTAAGAACGGAAAAACATTAGGCCTAGGGCAAATGTCGAACTTTCCATGCACCGAACTTAATTACATCAAAGAATATCGCTTCATTATCACCTGATATCCATGTTTTTAACGAGTTCGGTGCATGGAAAATTCGATGTTTGCCCTAAGCCTTAGATTCTTATTTTCTATGGAACAGTTAGAAACCAAACAAAGCGTTCTTAATTGATTTTACTTGATAAATGTGTTCAGGAAGCAGCCATTTACCTCGAATTTTCATATAAAAGATTTCTTAAGAATAATGAAATAATTTTCGCCCCTTTTTTCCTAAAAAAAATTGGGCCGTTATAATTGAAGAATAGTGGACACAGGCACACACGTCTATTGAACAAAAAGAGCGGGAATCTCAAATCGGTTGTTCAAAGTTAACCATGGGTTCATTGTTTGACAGTCAAATCTGGGTAAACGCGTCTACATACCAAAAAGGCGGGAAATTGCTTCCTGTGTAGTTGGGCCATTTTTGTTTCAGCACATCCTGACTAAATGAACAATTAAAAAACATCCGTCTATTAATTTAAAACTTGAAAAAGGATGCACTTCTATCAGAAAACCGAATGTAGCTGGTTTCCGGTTAAGATTTTTTCAGTCATGATCTAGGCTTTTAAAGAGTGAACGCCTTCCTTGGGGGCACRACAGCTGTACATTGTAATTATCGTAATACCATCATTGTAAAGATATAAAGTAAAACAATGTAACCGCGCTGGGGGTGAGAATGAATTAATAAATGTTTTGAACTTGATGGAGCTTCTTTGGTAATACGCGACAGGTAGCCTGCGTAGTAGGTAATAATAATAATAATAATAATAATAATAATGAGAATATGTGAAATTTATTTTGCGTTAATTCCTAAAGTTTATTAGCGCTTAGAAAGGGCGAAGAGAAACTTAAAGAGCCGAGGCGAAGTAGAGGAGGGGACYGGTATTTGGAAAAACAGTCTTTAGGGACCGGTCATTTATTGCGGGGGAGGGGGACATCAGGCGATTAATAATGACGTTTCCTTCTACGCTGTCGTAGTAATGTTACTTTGTTATCTGTCCAGGGGTCCAAAGGTTATTTATTCTCGCTCCGCCGTTTGCTGTTTTGACGGAAAGTAGCGAGTACCTGGTTGCCAATCTTTCTTCCTTGTTTAAGAATAGCAAAAAAAAAACAAACAAAAAAACACGTCATCACTCATCCACCCTGTTACGGAAACTGTCGTAGTAATATTATTCTAAAATTGTTATCATTATTGATTATTATCAATAAATATTCTAAAATCATTTACTGTAGTCAAATTATTGTAAAGGTTGTTTTTCTTGGCATCGCAGGTGTAATTTACTAGAAGTGCCTGAAGATGATGCTAAAATCACGTGGTATGATGGGGGAATACAGCTGACTGTTGGGCCTTTTCAGATCATCACTTTGATCTGTTCCATGTGATGAGTACAAGCACCATTATTACTATTATTGCAAGGTTCTTTGAACTGGTAAAAATAGGAATAAATTAGAAGGTACAAAGTCGTGTTTCTGCGAACTTGTTATAGTAGAAACCTGACTCGTCCCCAGTCGTCTCTTATTTTAAGAGCGCGCGCAAAGGGTCAAGGGAAGGGGGAAAGAAGARAGATGACGTCTCATGCCCTTCTTTCTTACCTTCCCTTGGCCCTTTGCGCGCTTCGATGAAAACAAGTGAGAGACGACTGGGAACGAGTCARAGTAGGAACCCTAAGCATCTTAAAGGGATAACATGATARGTCCTTTGAAGTTACAATTATGTGACTGGAGAGCAAAATATTTGTTTTTATTTTAARTTGGCGATTCTTTTTAGCTACTTGTGAAGAACTGATTGAARCAATGTGTATCCAGTGTGTTATGAAATGCAGTTTTATTACGATCTTTCAAAACAGGTCGTAGAAAGCGTGTTTGCTCACCAGTGAATTTCACCCATGGGAATCAAAATGTTTATTCATTTGCTCTCAGTGAATGAATCAGCACGTGATTACTAGGCTGCAAAGGACCTATTGTGACGTCAAGCTGAATAAAGCAATGGGTCTAGTAGGCCACTGTTCTTCCTGTGGTACAAAACTTAGGCAAAGATGCGACCTTATCTRTTATGAAAAGTCTTGTGATATCAAAGGTGCATGTTTAGCACTATTTTTGCATTATTTAGCTTAAATAGTGTATTAGGAAATTTGGGTATGGAAGTTAAGCCCCTCAATAATCTTTAATTTAATTCAAAAGCATAACYATATTACAGCATAACATACCTTGGTGATACGTAGGTAACGCGTTAATTTACATCGGTATAGACCTTATTGAAAAAACGTAGTCGGGCTCGAGAAGATCATATCATCGAAGCTAAGACCGAAAAGGATTTTAGGTACTTCGAAATGTGTATTATATTTGTATATAGACATGTAAAAATGCACAGTAGAGTAAGTCGGTCGACCTAGATTAACAACATGCCAAAGCCATGATGTATAAAATGTGTACAGGAAGGGAAAACTACAATGCGCATGAAATTAGCATAATTGTTTGTCTTCCCATGCTCCCCTTCGGTCTTARCTTTGATGATATAACCTTTTTTTTGACCCCGACAACGTTTTTTCAATTAGGTGTGTATGTAACAAAAATAAATGATAACATTAAATGATAGGATTTAAAAAATGATTTACGTCGTTTGCTATGTTCGTTTGGTATTTATATTTTTAAAATCATTGGACATCGGTCTTCTTGAGGAAAAAACTACTTCGGGTTGGCATTGCAGTGCATCGTGGGACTGTTTTAGAAGATATATTTCCCAAGATGGCGTCTACTTCGTCTTAAAACAGTCCCACAATGCACTGCAATGCCAGCTCGTTCCCGAGACCGAGAAAAGAAGGCCCTGGGAACGAGGTTGTTTTTTCCTGCCAAAAAAGCCACCGGCTCCCACAACATGCTCACTGGGCGACAATATGTTTATCTGTTTTTGTTAGCTTTCGTCTTTCTATCTTTGTTTCTTAGTATAAATGTTGAATATTATTTAATCATTATCAACAAACTCTACCGAATTTCTCATGTCGTGTGCTTCTTATTTTCAAGCGGATATTCAAAAATATTATACCGAAATCTAAATCAAAGGCCAAGTTTATTTTGTGTAATTAAGGTCAACCGCATAAAAATATCGTATGCTGAATTCCCCTAATATGCAAAAAAATATCTTATATACTTCTCTACTACAGATGAAAAGAGGAAACGTTCTTCATATGTTAACGCATTGAAATATTAAATCCCTTGTCTTAAAAGTCTGACAAATCATAGTGGAAAAGTGCTTTGGTAAATCAGTTGCCATCCTTGAACGAAAATATGGTTTTTTGAATATAAATGTGATTACCTAGTACTCTATTGAAATAGATTATCAAAGCAGATTGGATTATCAAGTATTCGTCACGAACTCTAAAAAGAATGTATCCAAAAATTTAAGGGGAAAATTGAAATCTTCCTTAAAGAAATACAACATTCCAGTTATTCAAAAGCAAATGTATCATTTTATTTTCATGACATGACTACTTTGCATCTGTGCCAATAAATGTGCTAATATAAACTACTCTAATCTATTTTTCGCCTAGAATTCTATAAACATAAATGAACAGTGGCCAAGAATTTTGGGTAAATCTAAATTGTTTTCGTCAAAAAACCTCAAACAAGCTTTGGTATTTGTTTATACATAAACCTATCTTATAATATTTGAAGTCACTTGGTCGGAATAAGTAGTATAAGATGACTTTATTGGGCCTTCACGAAATGGAGAACGTTGAAAGACTGCAGGGACAAAGCCAAGTTCGTAAATCCATAGATTTTTAATAATAAAGTCCATTCAGCTTYGTTTTACGACCAAAACGTATTTGTGTACCTCAGCACGCGCCAGTACTTTTTTCTTTAATCAAAATTATTCCTCAGCGTTTTTTGTTGAAGAAAAATTCATCTAATTTGCCATATTTTGAAACTGCGTCTCTTCATTTTAACTAAATTATTATTATTTTGTTTTGAACAAAAGAATTTCTTTTTTTCGTTATGACACATTTGAACGACACTTTAAGACCAGAAACTTACTCGACATTATTTAATGGATTTACTTTTAGGTCGGTCGTTTCCTCAAAAAAATATTCATTGTCAATAAAGAATGTATTTTATAGGCCGTTTTTGCCAAGAAATCTCAAACATCGCTGCCCTATATTTTAATTTTGCGATTGATTTACTTCTCGATATCTTTACTTATAACTTTGTGATTTGTCAAGATAAAGAAAAATAGTTTTCGATTTCTTCACCTGCTTTAGATATTTTATTCATGGCGCAATTTACGTCTTAATATAGAAATCAATTAAGAATTCTTTGGAATCGAGTTTTGGTGCATAACATTGTGTATAGACTATTATTCTCATTATCTTTTCCTATCCATGTATAATCGAATAAATTGGATGAGTTAGATAATCAATATGTCTTAAGATGGGTTTTTCATAATATATTTTTTGGGCCTTTAGCTGTGGTTATATTACTCAAGAATTTGGCGATTACTGGTGACATGTGAATTATTCATTTTGTACTAAACTGTTCAACAAAAACAGGGGCCTTAAGTCGTCACAGTTTCGGGGTCGTTCATAGTGTACTCCTCTTCTTATGACTACTTTGCATATCATTTCGGCTAAATGACCTGTCTAATCAACCAAGATATACTTCAAGGCCTTGTCATTATCACCTTCGAGGGATACATTCAATGCAGTGCGCATAACCGCTTTCTTCAGGGCTGAGCATTACGGACAAGAACGACTTTGAATGGTACTGACAATGTCTTCAAATTCCAGCAGTTATTTCACGATGAGGAACGACTCTCAACTAAACCAAACTCTACTATCTAACATGGGATCCCCTTTGTTAAGTCCTGAAGCCTTTCGACTCTTAACTAACGTATTCTTTTCGTGTATTATAGCAACGGGCGTGATAGGAAATGGACTTGTTATAGCGACTATTCTTCGCTGGAAAGAGATGAGATCTCCCTGTAATCTCTTCCTTTTGAACATTTCTATAGCGGATCTTTGTCTGACCGGCATTGGCGGTTCCTTTAGGATTGTGGAAGTGTATTTTGGTTGGATTTTTGGTGATTTTTTATGTCGATTCCTAGCACCTATGCAAGATGTTTTTGTGTCAGTATCAGGCATAACTCATTCTACCATCGCCTGGGAGAGATATCGGGCTACAGTCACTCCCTTCAAACCCAGAATCTCTAAAGGACGAACAAAACGACTTTTGCCAGTCATCTGGGTTGTCAGCTACGTAGCTTGTGGTCTGCCGCTTGTATTCACCACGAAACAAAGTCAGAAAGGAGGGAAAATGAGGTGCTCTCCACACTGGTCGATACTGTATCGCCGCATTTACGAAGTTTATCTTGTCGCTGTCTTCATTGTGCTGCAGCTAGTTCTCCAAACCTATGCTTATGCCAACATCATACGCGCTTTGCGCTCGGGAAATGGGATTTTCAGAAGGTCCACAAGAGAGGGGAGCAAAGTAGTTGAGCAGCTGGAGTTAACGGAAGATGCCCTCAATATTGAATCTAGAATGTCCTTCTCAGCACGCAACGCCAGATGCAAACAAAAAGCTAAAACGATCAAAACCCTGATCGTACTTGTCGTAGTCTTCCAAGTCTGTTACATTCCACGAGGGACTGTCATGCTAGTAGGGGAATTCGCCACGAATCTTTCTTCGCATTTTCGCTACGTAGAATTGATCTCTCTTATTCTGTATTATCTCAAGCATGTTCTCAACCCTGTGATCTTGTTTCTTATGAGTGCGGAGTTCAGTCAAGGCCTCAAGAGTCTTGTCACTGGTCGTATCAATGATAAGCGAAGATCAAGAGCCTCTCAACGCCAAACATGTCAGGTACCGCCGCAGGCCAGTAGTGGCGGGAAAAAAAGTGTCGAAGAAGACATCACTAATGAATATCTGATCAAGGTGAAAAGAACTGAACAAACTGACGAACAAAGCTAGGACATGCAGCTTTGACATGACCACTCAACACCGGCTAAAAGAAGCTGGTACAAAAAAGTCTCCGATGGAAGTAATTTTGAGTACGGATTAAAAACAACAACATGATATTGTCAGGAATGCAAAACATGAAAGAATTTCAATTTCTATATTTTTAAACAAATTTCGTTTTTGACAGATTTGTTCTTAAGCTCTCAGCAGGATTGCTACGCTAACTGGGTGTTTTTTTTGTTTTTTGTTGTTTTTTTTTTGTTTTTTTTGTTTTTTTTGTTGCATATCCAGATCCCATCAGTTAACTTACACCAAGATCCTCTCAGAGTAAGATTAAAATTTCAGCCTAAATTATCTGCCCTTCAATCGAGTTCTGATCAATTCCTAACGTAAAACTAGTTTGAAGGGACTCATAAAAATTTTTTCATATCAAGATCCCATCAGTTATGAACTTACACGAAGATTCTCTAAGAGTAAGATTAAAATTTCAGTCTAAATTATCTGCCCTTCAATCAAGTTCCAACGTTAAACCAGTTTGAAGGGACTCATAGTAAAGAGGAAGAATAAAGGAATTGAAACGGATCGGGCGTTTTTTCCAGTAATCTATCAAGGCCACGCTGGAAATAGTTTGTCAAAAAAGGATTTTGTTTTTTGCCCATATTTCTTCGAAATTATGGTGTGTGTATTTTTTAACGGCCTAAGATACCAAAGTATTTAACTTATAATTTCGAAGAATGACTATATCCAAATCCAATCCGCATTTACGATACGAAGACTTCCGGCGTGACTTTGKGTCGGTTGCCGAAGGAAATCCGTCGCCGAACTGGTGTACAGTGAGCTACCAAGTACTCGTCAGAACAAGCGAGGTAGTATGTGAACACAGGCAAATTTCATGGGTTAAAGACGCGAAGACTAATCTCTAATGCGACTTTCTCGGTTCTATAGGGATGTGAGAGAAGGGTTATGACTAAAATTTGGCGCTGGAAAGAAAATTCGAAGACGTACGAGGTTTCAAAGACTCGTGATGKTTCGCTTTTGGGACTCGAATCTCCAACCTTCTCTTATTTCTTACTGGTGKGGKGAAAATCCTATTTCTCAATGACCGGGTAAAATTTCGAGGCTTTATTTCACGTTTCAATGATTTTATCAAAATTTTTGATGAATCCCCATACATTTCCTTATAACAGGACACCACAGAAACCAAGCTTGGGCTACCTGTGGTAAAAGTTTTGATCAAGTTTTTTTCAAGATTCCGAACAAAACATATTTTTGTTTTGTTTTGTTTATTTATTTATTATTTTGGTTAAAATAGTTTTGACAACATCATTCAACACTATTCAACAACATCAAAATCACAAGCTCAAAATTTTGGTTAAAATATTGATAAACGTGCGTATACATGCAGCTAAAAATGTACTTTGAAACGAGAAAGCCTTTCACGGTTTTTTCAACTTTTTATATGAGCAAATTAACAAAAATCGATCTACACCATTGGACAGAGCACCTCAAAAAGGCTGGGTTCAATCTCAACAGCATTGTCAAGCTCCGGGCGGTGATTTGGGTTTGGCTACGATCGCCAACGAGTTAGAAAACAAGTTTATCTTTGAACTCATAYTGCATCCCCTTGGTAAGTTGTATTCGTAAGATAGAGCGCGCGCGCTCTGATTGGCTGAAAAGCTGTTTTAATAGATTATAGAAGTATGGATATGAAATCAAAACCATTTTTCTTTACATAATAAAGTAATAGAAATGATAATGACGTCAGGAATTCGGGTTTTTTTTCAAATTAAAGTATTTGGACTTTTTAAAGTTTTAATGTTTATATATTTTTGAGCGTTACGACCTTCCTCTAAAAAAAAAAGGAAAATGTGTCGTTATGAAGCACATTTGATTTTTACATTTGGACGAGTAAAGTTTTTTTTCCTTTGTGCTGAGACTATTACAATGACCTCATTGTACTGTGATGTACTTAGGTGGTTAGAGAAGTCAAAGGATGAATTTCAAAATTTCTCACAGGCAGACAAGAATTACCTAAGCTATTATAAGAAACTTACTTTACAACTACTATCGCCATTTTTACCCTCAGTTACGGCAAAACTGTTCTCCAAAGCCAAAGTAGGAGTACAAAATACTACCATAAATGGAACAAATTTTTCACTTTTAGTTCGTGGTCCAATTAAAGCACCATTTTCCCAAGTACTGCTAACTTTCTTCCAGCATGAAAGATCAAGATAATTAATTTCTCAGTCTATCACCTTCTTGTGCATTCAAAATGTGCATAAGCTGGTTTTCTTGTGTATGTACATATCAACTATGTTAAGACTGAGCAATCACTCCCTATTTCATCAATGTAGTATAAAATTCCATTTATTACAGATTTGCCTATCAAAGAGGCCTGGATCGGATTGAGAGACAAGAAAGAAGGCACCATCCTGTGGGCAGATGGATCACCACTGACCTTCCTTCTAGGCACCCAAAGCGACTTGTCTAACACAAACGACACAGACTATGCTTTGATGAAGGAAGGAAATAATGGTGAATGGAAAATGGAAGACTGTAGGAAGCCTGCATTTTTCACTTGCAAAACATAGTGACTGAGATAATYGTAATAGCTAAACTCACACAAGAAATTTGTAGCACCTCACAAAAATACAGTTATTTCAAAAAAGGTTGGTGAAGGTTCTGTTGGCAGTTGCATGTTACATGTTGTTTACTAAGCTTACAATGTTTCATATTCATTTGCGAATAATGTCAGCACAGAAAAGTGCAGACAAAGTTTGGTAGAATTCCATAATATTATTATAATTATTGTGACCTTTCGCTAATTGAACTTACATCACCCATAATGTAGTTTTGGCTTCAGCAACCTTTATTATTTACTTTAATTAAAACTATGTTAACTATTTGGTTAAAACCTTTAAGAATTTATTATTATTACCATCATTATCATCATCATTATTATCGAAATAGCTGTATATCAGCATGGCTGTTGCTAAGAAATGAGATTGGAGGGAGCCATTGCAAAAGTGAACTACGAGTCTGCATAAGTATCTAACACACTTTTGATAATTGAAAAAGAATATCATTCTCATATTAAACTAAGTTATAAAATTAAGTTCTGAAGCCACAAGAGCACATGTTCTCCAATGAGATTCATAGATGTTTCTTTAAAYATTTTTCTATTCCTTCTTTGAAACTCGTCCTACAGCTTGACTTTCTGTCACCCATCATGCCCTCCAGCTTTCCACTGTCCAGAGCAGTGTTGTAAGGCCGTATTGTAGGGCCTGTTGGTGGGTTTTTGTTTGGTTTAATGTGGTCCATAGGAAGACCAAACAGTTGGGCCATTGTACAAACCATACCATATTTAGTCATTTGTTCTTGCCCACTCCAATGAAAGATTCCACATAAAGACGGTTCTTCTAATTTCTTCTCAGCAATAAAGTGGCAAACTTTGGCCACGTCATCCACAAGGGTTGGGTAACGAAGCTGATAGTCATCAATAACTGTTGGATTTTTTTGGTCTTTAATGGCACTCAAAAGGACTAGAAATAGATTGGGAAAGTATACAGTAAATTTCTAGCTGTCGCTAGTATTAATGCAGCCCTAACTACAAGTAGTAACCCATTACGACTGGATTGTTGTCACTGCTATTTCCATGTTAATGATCAGTTACGAGAGGGAGTCAAAGGACAAAAACATAATCTGGTGCAAAACAAAGTATGTAGGTCAATCTCTTGAAACTATTTTTTTTGTTTGAGTCGTATCCATATTCATGTCTTCGAAGTCATGCACAACCATTAAAACATGGTATGAAATGGGAAAACAGTGGATTAGGTCTATTATTCAAACCTACTGAACACCACTAGTAGGACATACCTAATCCAATAAAGCACCTAATTATGCACACCATGAAGCAGTATGCTTCACCCTACCACATTTTATCCTTACCTCTCCCCCTGTTCAAAACATACCTGTAACAGCACTTTCTCCGAGGTATTCCACTTCACCATACAGAACAGGTACTCTCAGAATAAGCCCGTTTGGATGATGCTGTTTGACAGCTTCTTCTCCTTCTAGTTTACTCTTTCCATACTTGTTGAGTGGATTTGGTTGATCACCTGGTTTATAAGGAGCGTTTGAGCCATCGAACACATAGTCTGTGCTAATGTACAACAAAAAGTGCTTTTGTATCTCAAGACCCTTGTTGAAACCTTCCACAAGTTTTGCTAAGAACTCTGTCGTTCCTATATTAAGCTTCTGTGTASATAGTTCGTCTTTTTCTACTACATCTGGTCTGCGTTCAGCGGCCGAGTGAATGAGGAAGTGGGGTTTAAAATCTGCCACTACTCGTCCTGTTTCCTCAAAATCTAGCAAGTCAACCTTTTTTAAATTTCCAGATATTCGACTATGTGCAAGCCCAAGGACTTCAAATGTAGGAGAGCGTGAGAATTCTTTCATTAAAGCTCTTCCTAGGAGACCTGAAGYTCCTGTGATCAAGACACGTCGACGTGAATCCGCCATGTTCGAAAATATGCAAGTAAAACCACAGGAAGCCCAATTCATAATATTTATTTAGAATTTCAAATGTTGTTCAGAAGCAAATATGCTGCGCACCGAAAACAAAGGCGTAAGTTTCTCAGGAGGGAGGGGGTCATGGGAGCATGCTTCCCCCGTATTCTAGGCATTCTTGGGTACTAGGGTAGCGAAAAATATTAATTCAAAACGAAACTCAACACTTCTCCTATGTTATGTCATTCCCCGCGTGCTTCATAACTGCATACAATACCCTCGCGTGTATTTCATTCCTTACCCATTTTTCTTTGTTTTACCCGTTCGCTTTAATATCAAACCATTTCGAAATACAAACATTCAATAAGTTATTAACGGGCGAGTTTTCGGATTTTTTAAAATTTATTTTTCATCCTTCACGTTTACCTTGGGTGAGCCCCTCTCCCCCCTCTACTGTGATTAGAACATGACCGAAACCGAGTCCCGTTTCCCGCGGGATATCGGACTAGAAAGCAAATTCCTGAGTTTCAAATTAGGTGGTGTTCGTAACGATATTGTTGAATCGTAAAAATTAAAATTGAAGAATATTTTACTTAAYTAATTTGTAAAGATTCCTACCCTTTTCAATGCTTTATCTCTTCATTACAGTCAAGAATGCTTCATGAGGCAAGTCTATTTTTCCTATTCTTTTCATTCTTTGTTTTCCCTCTTTTTGTCGATCCAGTAATTTTCTTTTGCGGGACATGTCGCCTCCATACTGAAAAACAATAATAAATCCGAAGACAAAACAGTGTCATATATGGAGATAAGGTTGATACTTAACATTGATCATATAAAACTATTTTTTTTAAACGTTGTAGGTCGAAGATCTGAAATGGGCGAAAAATCACAATCTTAACTCAAAAGTAGTCATGCTTCATATTCAATCTAAAAGGAAACTACATTGTTCAGCTGTGAATATATCATTACAATTTGCAGCGCGCGAATCGGTCTCAGCTTTCAGATTCGGCGACCAACAATGTTTTTTGGAATAGGTGTATACATTGTCATGTTTTAAAAAGTGTAGAACACTGACTGAGAACTTACGCATTTTGCTGTAACATCTTTCCTCAAAGGTCTTATCCTGAAAAAAGTCATAACATATTATATTTTGTCTTACAGACACATACTGCAAAATTACCACAATGCTAATGTGATCTGAAGTACTACAGTGGACCGATAATTTGTTGGTGTATTGATCGACCAATATAAGAGAAAATATTTTCTCGTTGGTTAAGTCATTGCAAAGYTTTAACTTTAAATAATTGACTTACGATTCTCGAGCAATTACTCTCCCTCGAATAGACGCCTGTAGGACCACTTCAAATAGTTGTCTGCAGGAAGRAAACATCATAGTTCAATCATACTTTTAACAAGTGAATAAGAAAACTTAAACCATCACCACCACCATCATCAGTCACCATCACCACCATTATCACCATCACTATCACCATCACCACCACCATCACCACCACCGTCACCACCATTATCACCATCACTATCACCATCACCATCACCACCATTATCACCATCACTATCACCACCACCACCACCACCACCATCACCATCACCACCACCATCACCATAACTTTGTACAAATCAGCCTGGGATATAATGGCAGTATATAATTCATGGAAATTTTATCCCGTGGCTTCAGTTGACAGAACGACCTCATACCTTGGTATGATGTCACGAAGTTTGACACACAGACTTCGTCCAGTGCTCACTGCTTTGTCATTATGAACGATACAACTGAGCGCATCCACAGATTTGCCATTGATAAGAATGTCCATCTATAAAATAAATGAATCTAAGAAATTCGTTGGACTCAAAGCATCTAGGTAAAAAAGGGGCTGGGCAACAAAGGGTAACGGGAGGGGAGGGGAGGGGAGTGGACGAGGGTAAAAGAATGTCTGTCGTGAAGAATGCGGTCATGATGAGTGCCAACAATGGTGTACGCAATTTGAAGTCACATTTAAGCAGATCTGGATATGGTTCAAAATTGGACCGCTTGACTTCGAATCAGTAATTTGCTTACATCAATGCATTAGGTGGATAGTTATGGATGTCAATCGTTTAAATGACGCGACAAGGCCGCTTTCGTACGTGAAAATAATAATGGCAAAGTACTGACCTTTGCAATATTCGTTTTTCGATAACCATAGTCTTCATAATCAAAGCTGAAATGTTACAACAAAGAACTACCCTGAGAAATGTAACCACAAATATCAATCACCATTTACTAGTTTATGAACGTGGTCCCGGTTGGAGTATCCGCACAGCAACTATGACTTCAGTTCTATTATTTCGAAACATAATGAAAAACCTGCTTGTGAATTCTGAAATGATAAAGAATAATAACCTTGCATATCCTGATGACAAGGATTTCAACTCATCATAAAAATCAATGATGATCTCAGACAAGGGAATCATGTACTTCAACATCACACGATTCTCATCGATGTAAACAACGTCTAACTGTTCTCCTCTTCTGGACTGCAGTAGAAGAAATTGGGATAGGAATTAGTAATGAATTGTGCCTTATGCTATTCCATGAGTTAAAGGGATACGGGAATAAAAATGAGAAAGGGAACAAAAAGAAAGGGAAGAAAAACACGGGGGATGAGAGAGGAGGGAAACACGCAAAAAGAAAGACAAACAAACAGACAAACAACAAACAGACAAACAAACAAACAGGCAAACAAACAAACAGGCAAACAAACA